CAAACATTTAATTAGTATATTATTAAACATTTTCAGGTATACGTGTATTTAAACAAGCAATGTCAGCTGTTCAAACCCCTGTGAAGAGGACATAAATCAGCGTGTCTAGCTTCACGTATGTCAATGCAACGGTGACGTTAGGACAAAGTTTGAAAAAAGCGTATTCCCATCTGATAGGAAAAATGGATCCCGAGAAACGAATCGCTGTTTCGACTATGGAAGTTGATGAAGATCAGTCAAACGATGACAAAGTCAAGCGCCAATAAATCGGGAGATAGCATAGGAATAGCAATTTATAAATAATGCAATTTATAAACGTCCTAAAGAGAATATTGGCTCCAACTCGAATGGACGACGGAAGAGAAAATCATGTCAATTCCTTAGTTGAAACTAATCAACTGAACTTCAAATTAAGTCGATTAAACACTCCAAGGGAGTAAATTAGAACCTGTGAGCAATACTCGCCGAAGAGAGTAATCACGGGGTTATGATCATATGAAATAAGTGCGCATGTGGAGGAATCAAGAGGATGCATAAACTACGTGAACCTCATTATTTCTGATTGTGATCATTAAACAAGACGGTCATTAAAATGGCGTAAATTTATAATAGGAATCAGGAGGCCAGAGCTTTGTCCTAATCATGCTTTGGCTACGAAACTCATACTAATAAATATTTCGAATGAAATGCAAAAAATTATCACACTGGCATTGGCTATTCAGCAGGCTAGTGAATCACAATATGTTACTCGGCAGGAAAACCTCCAAACAGCCAGATCGACAAAATTTCAGCCCCACGTTAAATTCTCTGGAGAATAAAATAACCACTTCAAACACCAGGCTATGACCAACGCAACTGAATTGAATAATTCTGGTTATTGTGTTGAGTGAAAGTTTCGACCTCAAGAAACGTTGCACGACCCAGAATGTCTTCGGCCGGTGTCAAAGAATCTATTGGCCATATTTCTAAAAGATGTATGTAGTAAAATATAATATGCGGTAGTATATTACATTGGCTAACATGGCAGTCATGCGTTGTTTAA